GGGGGGGGGGGTACTATGGTTTGTCCTCGATTTCATGCAGTTTTTTTTTCTTTCTTAAGTAATTCAAATAAGCAAGGAAGAAGGTATTCATGAAGTATGTTACCATCATTATAAACGATATGAATATATTAATAAATCACACTGTTTCTTGCGGCTTTTTGTAATTTACATCACACTCTATGCATCCAACGCTTTAAACGCGTGATCCATATGGAATGTAGTGCATGTAGCGAGAAAGTTTATTCCTTAACTACAGCATCATTCTTGCAAAAAATTGGTGTAACTCAATCTTTAGGCTCGACGTTATGATACTCGCACGACAATCTTCTCACCAGAAGGTCGCCTTTATCAAGTGGAGTATGCAATGGAGGCTATATCTCATGCGGGTACTTGTCTTGGTATTTTAGCCTCTGATGGTATCCTTATTGCAGCTGAGAAACGGAACGTACATAAGTTGCTTGACGATGAAGTATGCATTTTTGATATCTGTTCATTATAATACATTGAGTAATTATTTCTTCTTTAATTGCTAATCAGTAAGTTAATAAAAAGTGAAGAAAGTTTTTCGGTGAGTTGAAGAAAAGTAAAGGACGTTTGCCAAAGGAGTTGATAGAGTAGTTTTCAGTTTTTCATTGCATAAATTTGGAAATATTTTTGGTCCAGAAATAGTTGCTAGGTACTTTATCGAACGATTAGACAATCTGTAATTGGTATTAGTCCATGTTTAGATAAATCACTTTCCATTACATTTAAATTTCAGGTTTTAACTGAAAAAATCTATCGGTTAGCGGATAACATTGCTTGTACAGTTGCGGGGATTACAGCTGATGCCAACATTTTGATCAACCATCTGAGATTTTGGGCAGCGGATTATAAGTATAGTTATGGTGAGCATATTCCAGTTGAGCAATTGGTGCAGATGCTTTGCAACGAGAAGCAGCGCTATACACAAGTTGGAGGTAGATTTACACCATTTTTTTAATCCCTTGTAAAGAGTAATCATGAAATTATGATGTGGTTTTCAGCTTTAGCTAGTTTAGAATACTATTTTGCCATTTGCAAGTGTTGAGAGTTGTAATATAATCAACATTATGAAATTTCAACGTGTTCCAGTTAGTAAGCTCCTGCAAATTAGTAACTGCTATCACATGTACAGAAAATAACTTGGAATTGCCTATTTTCACTTTGTATAAATGTGAAATTTTCAATGTTTGATCAATGATTTCTATAGGGAAGCGCCCATTTGGAGTTTCATTGCTGTACATGGGATGGGATCAGCATTTTGGTTATCAACTTTATCAGTCTGATCCGAGTGGCAACTACACTGGTTGGAAAGCAACATGCATAGGGAATAATCATCAGGTTATAATATATTATTGCTATGTTGTCTAAGTCCATCACTTCTACTCCTTTAAATATGTTTCTTGATAAAGATTTTCTATTATTTTGGTATTATAATGTCCTTCTCTTCTATATTTCACATTGGTCAAACATTTCGAGAAAGTAGATCCAAATAGACGACGAGTTACTGTCACCGCTGACTTTGGATGTCATTAAGATCTCGATAGATCTGGTATCACTGTACTGAATATTAGCATATTTGCTAGTTTAATCATATCTGTTAGTCACTTTAAGATCTGATCGCTTTCCAGGCTGCCGTATCATTGCTGAAGCAGGAATATAAATCACCCGATCTGATTGAAGCTAAGAAATTAGCTATGAAGGTCTTATCGAAAACTTTAGATGTAAAATTATCGGCGGAAAAAAGTACGGTGCTCTTATTTTCTTATTTATAAAACTTTAAACTTCAATTCGATAGTTTAAAAATCTCTATAACTCTTTCTTACTTTTTTTTCTTTATTTTTGTGATGCTATTGCTAAATTGATAAAACGGTTGGGCACTGACTTAAAATGAGAATAGAAGGCTTATTACACAGTTCTTATTTGGTGCCTGATTTATAATTACTTATCCACTGTTAGACATGCTCCACTAATAGTCAGGTCTATATTCCTTTCGACTGTCAAGATTTTCTTCATATACTGCGGCTTCTTAAATATTCAGATTTTGTCCTGCTCAAATATTCAGTATCACTTTTTTAATTGAGCTGAACTGAACTTTCTGCTTATCATGATCTTTTAATCTAATAATTTTTCAGTTGAAATGGCAACACTAACACGACGTAATGATAAAACGATTGTGGAGAATCTGACCAGTGCTGAGGTCTCACAGTTGATTAAAGAACATGAAGAAAAAGAAAAAGAACAGGAAGCGCAACAGCTTGCTTAGTTTTGAAATAATAGAAAGATTTCGCAGTTATTATGGTGAAATGAAATTCATCAATTATGCAGATAGGACACATATTTTTTTAGTTTGTGAAGGCGTAAACCTCATTTTAAATCTCAACATTCATATTACATCCGACTTAAGTGCAAAAAATGTGACAACATTTCGTTTTTGCTTGTTACATTTTTATGGTAACATTTCTAAAATATGCGGATATGAAAGAAACGAACAAAGATATTTACTTTGACACGTTTCTTAGACTGATATATGTTTTGAATTTATAAGAGAAAAAATGTCTGCACTGCTTTTTATATGGGTGATAACCAAAAATGGTTAGAAGCTTCTCAGTCCTATAGGAAACGTAAAACTTTGGTATTATAAATCTTCGAATAAAGATTCGAAAAAGGCAAGCCTGTTACACGTGCGATTGAGGTGTAGCAGACTTACCTTTTCGCTGTTATTTTATTTTATATGTGATGATTTTTTTATATGTAATGTAATGTTTTGAACTATATTATATAATCACTAATTGCAATAAACCGTTGTTACTTTATGTAAACTTTTGGTTTTTTAAAAAAAAATTTTCCATTGGTGCACTTACAGAACTATCACTTGAATGGGTTTGTATTTCCCCTGAAATTTAGTACTAACTATAAGTAGTTTTTTGTTTATAATCGCTTGAAGCAATTTTTTTGTCTTTATTTGCTGCAAATCCTTTTATCTGGAATGTGTTTAGGACAGATATTGAGTAGTATGGTAATGACCATTCCGAATTTGCATCAGAAAAGATCCGCAGGGAAACGCTGTATCATATTTAGTTGCCCATAACAAGATAATTAATTCCCTAGGTTATATCATTTATATCAGTTACACATTCGAACTGCTACGGCGTTGAAGATTTTTTTTTATTTCAAATTAATTTTCTGATTATTTTAAGCAGTCTTGATGGGAACCATTACAGCGGATGAAGTTAATTTCCAGCAACTGTTGGATCGCAGTGAGAGACTTCGTGCTGAAGGTATTTCTTTTAATATATTCAAACTTCGTGCAGCTTTGAAAGAGCTGCAAGAATTATACGATCGACTACAAAGGAACAGGTAAACATTCTAGTTTCTTTTAGTTTAAACACAAGTATTTAAACTGCATCATCACATATAGCTTATACTAAATTTAGTTAATATCAGTTGTATGCACTATTGTCATTTACAAAAAAATGTAGTTTGAGATGCCATTTTCATTTTACATACCGGAAATATAAGTTATGAAATACGTCCAGCTGCCTTTGAGAGACCTCATGTAAGGCCTTTAAATGAACAAAATCAGTAATCGTGTTAATTTTTGGTGGTCAATATTATCCGCAAATGTTTCAGGAATATTGATAGGGATGTTTTAAAGCATTATGGACAAGATTTGCAAGCACTACATCTTCAGATTGAGACAGAGCAAAAAGTAAGTTCTTTTTTATTTAATAGTCTATTAAGATTCTTTAAGGCACTTATCACTCGCAGAATTTTTAAACAAATTTCAGAAATCTATCACAGTTGACGATGAACAGGATTTAGCGACAGATTTTGAAATCGCTGTTGAAGATTCGAATGAAGATAATGCTTTTATGAAAGCTAAAAAGAAAGCCGTACACCAGGCTGATTTGCGCTTTCAGTTACTCGGGGGACCAGAAAGGTTTAAATATGCCATAAATCTCTCTACACTTTATTGGTACTGAGAAATCTCACTCTTCTCATTTTTTTTTGTTGATGCACATGCTATTGCTTCTGCAGCATTTAATTGTTGAGGTCATCATCTCTTGATCTTGATTTGGATACAGAACAAATTTCTCGGCGTGAAGTTGAAAAGCAGGAAAATTTGATGGGCGAATTATTTGGCATGGCACGTTTAATGAAACAAACATATTCAACAGCTAGTGCAGTGATCAAAGAGGATAATGCAGTGTGTTTTTTGGAATTTTGTTTTACAAATGTATTTAACAGAATGAAACGCGAAACATATATGCAATAGTATAGCATTTTTGATGAAGAATAATAGATTTCAGAATGATGTAACAATTTTTTAGTAATTGTTCAATATAAGTTCTTTTTATTTCTTTTTTTTTTTGATATAGAAATCATTTAAGAAAAAGAAACCTTATATGAACGAGATAAACTTTACTTCAAATTTAATTCTGGAGATTTTGAATATATTTTGTGTTTCAGACGTTATCTCGATTACAACAGGCGACAAGCAATCATAAAGGGAGTTTGTTAAAGGAAAGCAAACGACTTGAAGAGCGTGCATATCGTTCGTGGTGTGATTGTTTGTACATTGTAGGTGTTTGTACTATAGTTATGTCATTCATAGCTATGGTAATTGTTATGAGGGTTTTCACTAAAAAATCATCATAAAATATACAAATTTTGCTTTTGTAGCACAATAAAAGAATATTTACATATGTTGTTAATGATCATCCATAAAATTGCATCGAACAACTAAGATGGATAGGATTCTGAGGAAAGAGAGGTTAATATTTCTTGTCAAGTATCTCATTACTTATAATCCTTTTGTTGACGTTTAAATCACACTGATTTTGCATCATTCTTTATTATTTCCTTGTTTTTCTTCTTTTTAAATAGAAGAGTTTTCCATAAAAATATGTTACAATTTAATACCACATGCCACATGGTGCAGAAATCAGAATATCTTTTGTTCAATTACGGGAAGATAGAATACGCTTTTGAGAAAATAGGAAAAAAAGTTTCGGAAAGTTTATTATTATATTGCTATTGATATTACCACATTTAAATATCTAATTTCATTTCTAAAACTGAAATTACAGTGAATGAAGAATGTAACCGTATTTAGAATCAATAAAAGAAGTACAAAAGTTTGGATGATTTTGTCGTATAAATTCTTCCTACAATCTATTCGTCAATTCTTTATTCCAATATTTTCCATATACATTGGAGTGATAATGTTGATCGTTCCAGTATGACTGTAATTCGCTGACATCAAGTTGTGGTACCATCAGGAACTGGAAATGCTATCTTATTCCACAAAATTTACTGGGAAAAGAGTGAACTATAAGACATTTTCAAATTATCATTTTTCTTTTTTTGAATTCAAAACTACTTTTGTCTTCATTTTTGTTTTATATTACAATTTTTTATATTACAAACTGAAGAAAATTTACAGGCATACGATGACGATTTCTATAGTTGTTGATATCTTTTATTCCAATTGCAGTAGGAAATTTATAACAAACAGAAATAGGAATGATAGATGTTGTTGTTTCTGATGTTTTTCTTACTGCTCTTACGTTTAATTTATCTTTCCCTGATGTACCATACCTATAAAATATTAAAATATAATTTTTAATTTAGTAATTATTGCCTATCGTCGAAGATTTTGCTTAATTTTTGAAATGAGAATTGCAAGGCACTATTGAATATTAATCACTGTGGTAACTTTAGTAATCTCTGTCAAGTTCATTTCGTAATCATTTAACAATTACTTGCAATAGGAAATATAATTGCCAAAGTATTTAAAAAAAAAAAACCACAACAACTTTAAAAATAGAGAATAGAACTTACGCAATTTCTTCATTACAAATGAATAGTGTAAATAAGACTGGAAGTATCAGTAAACTATGTAATGTACCGATTGTTATCACTAAGATAATTGTTTTTAGGAATGAGCGAAACACATAGCTATCAATCGATGCTAAGAATGAAACTCCTGTAATCAGAGCATTATCATTAGTTATCAATTATAAGTAGAGTTGCTAAATGAAATTCAATTAACCATCTGAATTTGTCATCATTTGCGATATCTTTCTTATCATTTTATCACAATCTAAAATAGCTGCAAAAACGTTCAGTACTTACCGATAATTGTACTGCTGGCAGATTGTATTATTGGAACACCAACATTGTATAAAGCATTACGCATTCGCTCAGACGAACTTATCCCATCATCCTACAAAGAAGAAAAAATTGAGCCAAGTTGAGCCAAGAAAATTGATGTCATAATAGGAGCAATTTTGAATGGATCAACAGAAATGAACGTTGCTTGAAAGGAAGAAAGAAATAATTTTGCATGGTATTGCTTTCCAATAGAATATGTCTTCAATATCACAGAAATCATGTATAAGAGAGAAAGGAGTTATCAGGTTAAATTTTATTATCATTTATTATCAAATGGATAGAAAGTAGTATCAAATATGATATTATTGATTGACTACAAAAATTCCTGAAATAAAGTATTTGTAAATTTTCAAATAAAAACTAAGGAAGAATTTGAAAGTTGAAGAAACCTTAGAAAAATTAAACGCCAAATGTGAAGCAAAATCAATGCAGAAGCCAACACTCATAACAATTGTTATCATCGAGACGAAATCTAATCGAACATTCCAAAAGGTCATGAAACCAAGAATGCCAACGTTTACCGTAATGATGCTTAATAAAATCCAAAATGATGCAACTCTTCTTGGTATTAGCAATAATGAAACAATAATTACGGCGAAACTAGCAATTGCTATCGTTGATAGCGTACCCGGAAGTACTGCATTGTATTGTTCCGCAAACTGCAATTTCATGATAATGTGAATTACAATCCAAATTCAAAATTACAAATCAGTTTCAATTAAAATACTCGGCACAAAGTGACCTGGAAGAAGTCAGCATACACTCCAGTCTTAATGGTACGCGATTTTGCAATATTTCTTAAAACTTGCATAGCCCGAGATTGATTACTCGCCCCAACATAACGTAACTGCACAAGGATACGTGAAACTTCCAGAAAATTACCGGTAGAATCAAACAAAATATCGCTGGAAATTTATCCTTTCAATAGAAAAAATTGAAATTTAAAATTCAAGAGAATATTTGCTATCTAATGTAATTAATATTTTATTTGCCACCTAATACAATTAACATTTTATCGGATTTCAAACCGAAAAATGAATAATTAAGCATACCGCTTGTAACGAGCAAATTGTGGTTGAGAAAGGAAAATATTTTTTAAAATATATACAAAATTGTTGGATGTTATTTCGATGTCATTTTTTTGAAAGTATTGCATCATTGCGCGCAACCTAAAACTTATATCATTCTTCCAGAAATTCTCGAACATCCTTGCAAATTTTTGCATTGTTCTTTCTTATTCATCATATTATAAATTAAAAAATGAAATTTTTGCAAAACCAAAAAGTTTCAAGGATTTGAATTCCATTTGCAAAGACATAATTTAATTTTTCATATAATTGTTGATATCTAAAATTTTTGAGTGTTAAATAAAAGTAGATTTAATTTAAATAAATAAGATACACTGAAAATATTTTCTAGCTATGTTTTTGGAAAAAAAATTAGACTTCTAGAAATCTTATAATATTAAATAGGTAGGGTAGCTTGAAATGGAAACTTGAAATAAATTTAATATGCATCTGGAATGAACCATGAATCACTGTTTCCCGTATATTCGGTATATTCGTACAATGCTATTTCACCTTCCAATACTGTCCAAATTTGATGATTTGAAAAATTGAACTCTGACAAATTATACATCCATACGTGTAAATATGACCCATAATCTAAAAATATTTCATCGACACATACATCATTTCATCTCTGAAAAATTAGACATCTGACCTTTACAATTATTGTCACACTAAAGTAAAAGCAAAACGTGGTTAGCATTAGATGGCACATAGCAATCTGGAAAACTCTTTTAAATTTCAAAAATTTCGAAATGGTTTCAATTATTTCCCATTTCATTTTATCTTTGCATTTTTAAATAAAATGAATAGAATGACGAAAAACTGGCCAGAAAAGTATTTCTCCATAACAGATAAAGCTTCACGACCATATGAATCTATCGAAAGTAATTCATTCGGTTCGAGGCCTAATTTCATATGCATACAACCCCAAATTGATGCTATCTGCAATAGGACAGAAAAAGAAAACTGAAATTTTATCTTTCTAATTAATATTTGCTATATTTTAATTAAGGATAATGCAATTTAAATGTACGTAATTAAGAAGGATCGAAGAGGTGAAATGTTTGACAGTTAACTAATGAAACTTACAAGATAGAGGACGAAAATTACGAGTATAATTAATCGAACTGACGGTTTGAACAACCAATCTGAGTAAGTTGTACGGAAAAAGTTAGCAAGTAAATGATTATGATGAGAATTTATTTTCTGCACCTTTCCAATCATTAACCAATGACCTTTATGTGGCGCAACTAAAAATGAAATTTTCTCCTCTTTTTTATGCAAAAAAGAAAATTTTTGTTACTACTTTCGAACATACCTCTTTGATTTCATTTTTGATCACTTTCCTTTATGATCTATTTTATCGTGTGATTAGAACGATATACTGAGGCAAGAGTGAAATTTAAAATTTGATGCTTAAATTTAAATGTAAATAACTAGTTCAAAAACAAACTAAACTCATTACTTGGAAAGCTTTGCGTAAAAGAATGTGCTTTTATAATTAATGTCAATCATTATTTAATTAATTTATTAACTCATTTACGCTAATTAGTGCTATAAGAATTTCTAGATTGAAAATTGTATGAAAATATTTGGTAAAACATATTTTTTAATCTATGATTAAACAAACATTCAGGAAAAATATGTGATCCGGAATATTGCTTTTTCCTGCATTTCTGAAATGTTAGGCAATGTCGCTCGGCAATTTCACGTTTACTTGTTAAGACCAGTATAGCTGAAAATTCTGTATCAATCAACAACGGTTAACAATAAACTGTCACTGGTTTAGCTCAGTCTATTAATCGGATTATATCCTTTCTCAATCTCGAAATGAAACTAAATTAAATAAAAGAGAGATGTTCGTTTTTTTCGTTTATCGTATAGATTTTAACAGTTATGTAAACTTACCCGAGAAGAATGTTAGCTGATAAATATATGTGAAGGAAATAGCCGATACAGCATACATACAAAATGTCTGGAAAATTAAATTTAAATACCTCAAATATTTATTGAAATTCTTTGTCCACGTCAACAGTTTCATTAATTACATACTTTCTCATATTTATAAACAAAAGGAAAGAACAAGTTGATAGAAATGCAATGATTGAAGATATCAATAACATCATTTAGGTAATATCATCTAACTCATTCAACTATACATCATTTAAGCATGAAATTAGCTTACTTCGAACTAAATAAAAGGAGATGAATTTTTTTGAAATTTAATTTTTATGAAATTATAGTAAAAGTTATACATTATACTTACTCGTACGGATTGAAAAGGTGCAAAACATCCAACAGTAAAAGAAATGAGATCGGTAAGGGAAGTTACAGTAATTGAGAGGGATGCATCCGTGAATGCTTTCTTTATGCGTAAATTGAATGAAGTGATAAGAGAAGTTGATCGCCATGCTGACAATGTGATAAATACATTGTCAACACCAAATGCTACAAATTAAAAATGGAATAAATTTATTAGGAATAGAATTTATCAACTTTATAGAATTAATCTTAGACAGGCAAGATTAAGAAATATTAATAACAATTGTAAATTCAACTAATAATGTTCAATCAAATGCATTTAATAATGTGAACCCTGTCAGAAGCATAAAATTCTTTTGAACCGAAGGACACAATAATGTGTGACTAAGATGTGATGATAATAATATCATCTGAGAGCGAATTTTTTCAGATTTATAGTCTGGTAAAATTCTATGATAGTACTAACTTACAGAAGGCAACGAATGGCATCAAATATGCAACGCTGATAATATGATAGCCTAGTAGAAGCAATAAGCCGATACCACTGATAACCGCAGCTGCAACACTGATAACTTCGCCAATAGCCAGCCATGGTCGAGAATAAATCCATGATGGTAAACAGCAACATAAAGTTGTATACAATAATACTGTTAGAAAACTTGGAAGTAACATTCTAAAAAATTAAATTATTACACGAATTGAACGAAATATAATTGTTTAGGTTACATTTTTAGCCAAATAAAAAAAAAAACGACAAGATTTTTTCATGTGAAAATAAAACGAATTTATAGAGGAGAAAATTTCAAATGTTTAATATTTTAGGTAAGTTATTACTTACTTTACTAATTGTTCACGACCATTAGCGCTTTCTACAGCTATCGTTTCGTAAGTCCATAAGGAAGTTTTAATGATATTTGAAGCATATTGCAATAAAAACTCTGCTAATTTTAACTCCCATTTCTCAGCTAAACTATCCTGGAAAACTGTTGAATGTCGCAATGCATACGGTAACATTATTGCTTTCGCACCTGAAAAACATTTTTTTCTTTGTTGATGCAACAAAAAAATATTTGATTCATTTGTATTTACGCTTTTCAAAGTAACTTTAAGTAAGTAAACAAGTGAGAAAGATTTAGAAAGTTATTCTGAAATTTCACTATAATTAAAATCTTAAAATAATGAGGTGTAATTTCAGAATGCAATAATATGCTCAAGAATTGGATGGGAAGTTAAGATATTGAAAAAAGAAGTGAAAGAAATTGTACAAAAAAGCTAATAAGCACGAATTTTTTTTTAGCACGACCGGAAATTCGATGTTTCTCGTCAAATGTAATACCACCCAATAAGCTGCAAACGCTATTCAACAGATCGGATGAGAAGGAATTGGCAACTAATTTCAAGATAGCCTGATCAATTGTATCATTTTTCGGAATTAAATCACCACTTAGAAACATTTTAAATGCAGTTATTAATGGATTTGATACGCATTCTTCTTGTAACCTGAAATTTATTTCCTAATTTAAAAATATTTCCTAAATGTTTAAGAATTATAATTAATCTGAACGATACAAAACTAATTAATTACTAAATCATAAGCAATTATTGAAGAATATTATTTCGAGATGTACGAAAAAATCAAAAAAGAAAAAAAGTTAAAGAACTGTAAAAAGAATTTACTTCTATTAGGTTAAATTTCTCAGGAAAAAAAATAAATAGAGCAAATAGATTTTTAAAATTGAAATAGCCAAATGAAAAGTTGTGAAAACTTGCTGCTAAAATATATTACCTTGATGATTTATGCATTAAAATATTTGCAGTAATTTCATCAAATTCAGATGAAATTGGAAATTTAACACAAATGGATGAATAATCAAAAGTGGTATCATTTCGTCCTTCAACTCGAATCTCCTGTATCACATTCCATAATTTTAATACAGCATCCAAAATAGCTGGCTTCAGCACATCGTCATCATTAGCAATACTTTGTACGATAATATATCCGGTTCGTTTGATATCATATCTGCAAAAAAGAGTGCAGTGAAAAATGAAATGTGATTGCAAAATTTGAAATAATTAAATGAAACGAAAAAGAAAAAAAAAAAACCTTCTGGTAGCATAGAATGGATCGAAATCATCGATATGAAATAATTCATCAAGTTCCTGTAACTCTCGTCCAGCTTGAGCATTAATTGGAATATATTGGTTAAGTTCATCTTTTAGGAAAGCATCTTTTTGATATTGCAATCCCGTGCTAAGTATAAGTGTCAACAGTATCGGTATTGTAATAAATAGCCATGGATAACGAATAATTAGCATAATGTAATGTTCAAAGAATTGGGAAATATATTTTTGCACAGAATAAAAATGCATTGTGCAAACATTTGATGTGCTTTTTCGTTTCAAGTCTGTAATTTTGAAACAATAAAAATTAATTAATACTTCATTACATTTGATCTGACATTGTGCAAAGCTCGAAAAGTAAATCTTTGATTAATCTATTGTGCTTAATTGTTGTACGATATTTTACTATTTTTTTTTTTTTTTTAGGAAAATATATACGATATATTACTATTTTTTAAGATATCGTCACCCTAATATTAATCGGTTAATTTGAATTTCTTTTAAATTTTAAATAATCCTTTATATACATTAAAATAAAATGGAAAGAGTGATTTCATTCTTGGAAGATGTGAATTGCAACATAAAAAGGAAAATGAATAATGCGTGATTCGTTAACATCGGCATTGACCTTATTTGAATTATAAATTGATTAGAGAAGATATCATAAATGCCCAACGTGGAATTATATCTAATTGAAGCAATGAATGATGTATTTTAAAATTAATCATGCTTATAAATAGAAAGTAATTAACTTCAAAAAAAAAACAATACTGACAATAAATTATCACAGTTAGCTAACATTGTCGCAATAATTTTAGGTTAATAACACAATAACCTAAATTTTTCATCGTTTTTTTTTTTTTTTGGAATCAACTTTTATCGTTATTTAAAACATTGAAAATAACAAATACATAACAAATATGAAACGATCGGTATGATTAATTTTTGCAAAAAAATTTGCTCACAATTTCTCTTCCGTTAAAATTCGCTGAAATTTTTTTACAAAATTAGATTAATGTTACCAAAAAAAACGAACTTATTGAATATTTCAAACAATAATTTTTAATGTTGCAAATCTATTTGCTACACATGAAATCAAAATGGATCAGATCATTAATTATTAGTTTCAATAATTGATTTTTATTCAAAAATTCAATTCAAATATTTCGATTGGAATATAAATAGTAATGGAAATTTTAAAATCTCAAATATTAATAATTATCTATGCAAATACTATTATTGAGAAAAAGAATTGAAAGATGGAAAGGTATTGAAATTTAAAGAATGTAGCATTAATTCGTTTTACCATAAAGTAGTACTAAAATAAGGTAAATAGTTAATGTGCCGGGAAGTGTAAGGCTGTACAATTCGTTTGCTTAAATGATTATGGAATGTTCCGTTATATCGCGCATAATGTTTCGAAATTATATTATTGTTAAATTCAATAATGTATGTTAAATGATGAAAAGTAAAATGATATGCAAACTATTGTTGAAAATATAAGAAAGCAAAAGCAAAAAAAAAGTTGAAATCACTAAATTGAGCGCATTTCGATAAATTTATTATTTCAAGTAATGTTCTGCCATTAGTAAAATGAGCATATAAAATATTGAATTTAAGAATTGATCAACTTCTCAAAAATTTTCAATCGAATTTATCTTTTTTGTTTCAAATCTGGAAAATTTAGCATAATTGTTTGTTTGACAGAATTTTTGAAATTAGCTTACATTATTTATTGCTTATATTTGCAGCTGTTTTTAAGGTTTTAAATTCAAAACGATATCATTTTTTGAATTTTTTTGCCAGAATTTATATCACTTTTTGTATGAATTATCAAAATTCTCAATCTTAAACGTAATTCCCTTTCTCTATTTTTTTTTTTGCAAGAATCTGCAGCAAATATAAGTATCGGATGTTTCAATTTAAATTAAGTATTAGCTTTTGAAAAACAATGAAGCATTGTGATTCGATACAAATAATTCTTGAAATGCGTTTAGAGATTACTAGATTTGTTGGACATTAATGATGAATTAATAATAAGCGGTTAGTGGACAAATGTCGCTATATTTTTATAAATGGAAAGGTCGAGATTGTCCATTCTGGTCAAACTAATTATACAAATCATAATCACAACCTTGTCCATTTCCGCCCTTCTTTCAACATCTACAAAAAATTACTGTTCTACAAATGAACACCGTCTTCCCACTGTTCACTATCAATCAGGCAAATCTTGCTCTTTCCCTCCGAATTAATTTCCTGAATAATCACTAATACGGTCAATTTTGGATAATAGAAATGAATTAGAATTTTATACAATTTTTGACAATTTAAATTTTCTGGATATTAATTCTGATACGATTTAGTAATCTGTACAGATTATCGAAGACAAAATACAACATGAGGAACCAATATCGCTCGTTATACGTTGATAATTTTGTTTAAATTTAAAATATGAATGCAATCAGTAAATTGAATAGGCGGAAATTAACAAAATTATTGATTTTAACATTATTCACAGAGTATCATTCGAGGTTATGGTGATTTTCTAGTTCAGTAGCCGAGATGACTTTTATTTAGTCTGAAACTTTAAAATAAAACTACAATATTAAAATGCACCTTTTAGGACTTCTCAATTTGGCAACTTCGAATTCTAAATTTCCAGTGTCAATTTTAAAAATTTAAATCTATTTGTTTAGCATACACATTCCAGTTTGTTTTGTTAGGTTTTTTTAATAAATGATTGTCCATCTGTCCATGCCATTTATGTGTCAGCCATAAGGATGACCTTTGAGCCATAGTCGAATTATCTACCCATAAAAGAAGAAGATGAGAGAAAAGAAAGAGACAGATGAGTCATGATGATAACTGTCCGTCGTCCACTATGACCCTTTTGCTTTTTTGGTTTTTGTCCCCTTTTCCACCTGTCCAGCTAATCCTTTCATCTTTCTTTGCTACCTTTTCTCATTTAATTTTCCTAAAAATTTTCAATTCATTTCTTTCTAAAGATTATCATTTTATCTTACCGTGATATCATTCAGTTTACAGAGTAATGATATCATTCAAAAAAAAAAAACAAACTTTCTTTGACCTTTTTTTGTATTTCATTAATTCTTACATTATCAAAACTTCCTCAACAAACACTACTTAATATTCAACCCTAATTTTCTTTGAAATTCTAAGGGAAAAATTTTTTGTGTAAAATTTGCAAATTTTAGTTGAATTGACTAAATGCTCCATCCGAAAATGAGTCATTCCTAATCTAAATCTGATATCAGTCCAATGCATCTTTTTTTGTCCCATTGTCATTGCAAATAACTAGATTAATCAAGGCTTCTATGCTATATTGGCCAAGTTAACTTACCAAAAGCAATGAATATTGAATAAATGTCAGAAGTTAGCTCATTTATTTGTTTAATTCATTTTTCATTCACTATTCCATTTAATAATTCATCCTATAGTTAAACTGATTAAAACTTTTAGTAATTTGATTGCACATTCAGCCCTAATTTTGTTGAACTATAACGATTAACCTATAACGATCAAACTTATATAATTTCATTTAGATTGTTTCCCTCTTGCAAGCGTTTTTAATGATCCGAACTTCTTTTTCATGCAAGAAAAGGATATTCAAGTCGGGTATTACATTCCGGAAAACCAATTATTAAACTCATAAAAAGAGTTAAATGATTATTATTTCACGCACCACTGCCTTATTATTACTGTTGATCAGCTCTACTTCGTGTCTTTGTCCTCAGAATTGCAGTTGTGACAATGAATATCAGTTATCTGTGATTTGTAATAATGTTAAATTGCAATATCTTCCATCTTTGCTACACCCCGGTACTCAATCTCTGAGATTATCCAAATGTCAAATTGAACAGCTTGATCCCGATATTATGGAATTATACCCAGGTTTGTAATATTTTAATGCGAAAGTTACATATAGCCTAATTTAATATGCTTTAATTAGCTGAAAACATCCCTTTGAATTTCTTCAATTTCAGTATCTCCAGTTTTGAAATCTGAATTCATTTTGCAGATATAATACATTTGGATCTGTCCAGTAATAATATTTCTGCTCTTGGAAATAATATTTTTCGACATCAAGGCAAAACTCAATTTTTAAATTTGAACAAAAATAATTTTCCGACTATATTCCGCAATAGCTTGTATGGTCTACATAAATTGCAGGTGAATTCTCCGGAAATTAATATAATCCAAAGAATCGTTCTTTTATTTAGCTTTCATAGATAATTTTTCATATTTATATGCTAGATTAGCATTTGAAATTTAGTACTGCTATCTGAGATATCTCCGCTAATTTAAGAGTTTTGAAATTTCTAAAAAAAAATTCTTCATTTCTTCTGCAATTTCAGTATCTCGATTTATCATCCAATAGATTACAAATGATTGAATTGAATGCATTTGAACATTTGGACGAGTTACTGGAATTTGATCTTTCATACAATGCACTTCAAAATTTATCATTTACAACGTTTAATGGTCTAACAAATTTACAAAAATTGATAATTGCCGGAAATCAAATTACATATTTGGATGGTCCTATAGCCAAAACTTTACCTAATTTGAGAACTATTGATCTGAGTGATAATATGATTACAGTGGTATGGATTCATTCTAAATTTCAACTTCATACTATTTTTAATAATTTCAATCATATAATTTAAATATCCGAAGTTTCGTAACTTAAAAAAAAAAACTCGTACATAATAGGTTTGACAAAGACGCAAAAGATCTGCTCTTGGAAGATTTCTTAATTTGATTTAAAAGACTTACTTTGGTAGGATAAGTTAAACTTTTATAGCCATATCAATAATAAGCAAATTAATGTCTCATAAGATCATGTTGCGTGTACTGTAATTCAAGAAAAACAGAGAGATACGATGCACAAAATTCTGAATAGTAAATCCTGAACATAATGTTCCATTTTTGATGCTAACACAGAAAATGAGTTTTGTAATAGAAGTGAATAAATAGCATTTCTTTTTTTCAAGGTCAACTAAACAAATATAAATTCAATGCGAAACATAAAATGTCATTTGCATATTCGGCTACTCAAATTGATAATTGATCAATAATAAAAATTGATTGATTTCAGATTGCATCCGATGCATTGATCGGGTTAAATTTAATAAAAACAATCGATTTATCAGCAAATTTTTTGCAAGAAATTCCAAAATTTGGTCAAAATAATCTGATAAACTTGGAACATTTGAATATAAGTTTTAATAAGGTAATAGAATATATCAAAAAATTTTTTAATCCTAACGAGATAGCAAAATATGTCAAAAAAAATTTTTTTTCAAAACATGTTAAAAAATTTTGATAAAAATTAACAACGTTTATACTAATTTTTAATATTGTTAAAAATTTTATGGCAAAATTTAATTTTTATTCCGTTATAATTTAGCTAAAAAAAATTGAGCCGTACAGCTTTCGACCACTTTTATCATTACTGGAATTGAATTTAATTAAAAATGAATTCGTCATCCTTCCTGCATTAGCATTCGATGGATTATTTCGATTACAACAACTCAAATTAAACGAACAACATTTTCTTAAAGAAATCCAGGTTAAACTTTCCCAAAAAATCGAGAAAAAATGAAATATGAAGTATTTTTTTTTTGTATGGCAGAGCTGATACAAATTTTGATGGGAAAGAAAAAAGAAATATATATTTTGAAATTTACAAATAAATTTAAAGCGTATTTGCTTTTAGAATGGCGCATTTTCTGGATTGGCATCCTTGGAAGTATTGGATTTAAGTTATAGTCGTCGCTTAGAATACATTGATGAGAATGCATTTGAAGTTAGTCACGCTTTACGCACTTTCAACGTTAGCTTCTGCGCTCTAAAAACTTTTTCATCCAATTTATTTGATTGGAAAAGGTAAGTCCGTAGTATAATTTATTAATTAATTACTGATATTAACAACATATATATATAAATATAAGTAAGTTAAACAAAATAACTGCGTAATACATTTGTATATATGCATTTATTTGTACACTTTTGAAAGTAATACATAAACAAACTCATTTCACATGCGTAATTCGTATAAATTGCGACAATAGGTCAAATTGGGTCAAATTTTTACAAGATCCAATAGTAGTAGTATTTTAGAGTAGCTGAACTATACTTACATGGTAATCCATTTCATTGTGATCATAAATTATTAACTTTCCTACCGGATGTTTTACGTTTACGTTCCATTCACAATGTCATTTGTGCCACTCCAGATGAACTACAAAACATCAGTATTTCATCGCTGGTAAGCATTTCAATTTGAATAAAAAAAAAAAAAAAAACAAAACAAAAAGCTCTACTTGAATATATCATTCACTACTGAAATTGATCGGATTATTGTTTGATTTAATTTACCACTAACTTATTTCACACTTCAAAAGTCCCTAAATTTAAAATTTGCTAATTCTTAAAAATAAATTTTTTAAATCTTTAAAATTGAATTAAAAGTAGAAATTATGAGCTGTTACTGGAAAAATGATAAGTCAAAAATATTTTTAGAAGAAAATAATTTCAGGATACGGTAGAGGTAGCAGTGGAAGACGCGAAACGAACTCTTACCGTTCTTTGTTCCACATTAACTGCCTTAACTGCAATTATCATATTGGTGCTCTTCCTGTATTCGAGAATAACCCCAACTGATAATCAAATTAGACAGTCGAAATCTAGACAACAATGTTGTCGAAATTTGCACGGTAGAAGAGAATACATTTTTCCGGAATACTATAATTCGGTTATCGAATTCAATATTTCAACAGCTAAAAGACAACATACATTTGTGGAATCATTCGAATCCACAATTCATGCTAACAATAATATTTGCTTGGAACAAACTGATCTTACTTATTTATCTACTAAATGAATTTTGTAATGTTCCAATTTTTGATATTATATTCACAATGAATTAAATTAAATGAGGATAGTTGCTCTTTCTCTGTGTCACGCATCCATAGAAAGAATTTCAATTATAATAAAAAAATGAATAAAAAGTTTTTGTTGATGAAAATACTCCGAAAACTACGTCATTTTTTACTAACTAAGAAGTATTGTTGAATAAAATATATGCAATGAAATTAAGAACAAAACTATTAATGAATTCAGTAATTGTATCAATAATTCTATCAATCTGTTTTGATTGATAAATTACTAAATATTAAAAATACATCAACCTCTTTGAAGTAATTTTTTCCAATATTTCATAAAAAAAAATCAAAAAAAGTAAAAAAGAAAGTTCTATTCAATTAATACCTTGAAATAATATGTTTCTCCTACCTCATTAGCCATGTTTTTCTTATGTTTTCTATCATGCCACGTCATTTACGTCACTACGACGTAACACCTTTTTCTGCATCATATCTGTTTATTCATAAATTTACTGTATCACAGCTAAAAACAGTAATAAAGATATTTTAACAGAGTAAATAATGCCACTATTTTTGTCAGACCATACATAATGCAATAATCAGTATACGATTAAGAATCCGGAAAAAAAATAATCATAAAAGTTATTTTATAATTTGTTGACGAGTATGACAGATTTTATCAAATATCTTAAAAATTTACATAGAAACTAATATAGTACAACTCAATCAATCAAATTCGATAATTTATAATCAATTTATGTTAAACTACAATTGAATGAGTCATTTCAACTTCGCTTTAATTTTAGGATTATTTCATGACCATCAGTTCATTTAAGTTAAAGCTGTGTTTTATTATTAAGACAACAGTTTAGCATCTTCGGATTTGACACATACACACATATATACACGCACATACACATGTGCACACACACAAGTACACACACGTACACATACACACAATTACACACACGTACACAAACACACATACACATACACATACACACATACACACATACACANACACATACACACATACACACATACACACATACACACATGCACATATACACATACATATACATACATACACACTGTACTATAATCTAATTCAAACTTTTATTTCACATAACAAATAAATTTACAGGAAAACAAACAAATTGATTAAAATTCAACAAATAAACTGATCAACAGCAGAAATAGAAATTATAAATAGAAAAACCAATAACTAAAATAACATGATCACTTCAAACAATTTATAAAACATGTCAAACTTTAGCACCTCAATACTCTCTACCATCAATACCTTCCAGGTCATTGCCGTCATTACTGTCGAAACCGACCTATAAAAAAGACATTTGAACTTTTATTAAACAAAATTTATAAGACATATGAATCGTATGAAATATTGGCAAATTAAACAAAATACATGCGGTGAATGAAAGAGCCTAAAGCAATCGAAATGCTAACTGATGCTTGTTAGGCTTCAGCAAGAATCATCCTTAATGAATACATAAAGGCAGTATGAAAATTAATTAGCACTCATTAATTAACATCTTGCACAAGAGTTGTAATGACTTGAATCGTTCCAGTAAATAATTATATTAAATCTCATTTATATGTGTATTAATTAATGCTCAATTTCTTCATTGTGAAAAAAAAATGTATTTGTAGTGTATATATAGTGAAGTACAATTAACCTCTTCATAATCACGTTCCAAAGCGGCAAGATCTTCACGTGCTTCCGTGAATTCGCCCTCTTCCATGCCTTCTCCAACGTACCAATGTACGAAGGCACGTTTTGCATACATCAAATCGAACTTATAATCCAATCTTGCCCAAGCTTCTGCAATAGCTGTCGTATTGGCTAGCATACTTACAGCGCGTGGTACCTTTGCAACATCACCACCTGGAACAGCTGTCGGTGGTTGATAATTAATACCTACCTGAAATGTCAATTCAATTCTTTACACTCCAAATATCTCATATTTGAAATAATTATTGAAATAAATGAATGTATATTAATATTATTTCTTAAAATTACTTTAAAACCAGTTGGACACCAATCCACGAATTGTATCGTACGTTTTGTTTTAATACTCGCAATAGCAGCATTGACATCTTTCGGTACAACATCACCACGATATAAAAGGCATACTGCCATATATTTCCCAACACGTGGATCACACTGTAAAATTGTACAGTAGCAACTTATTAGCATTAGCATACGTCGATTTTAATTTTTTACTAATTAATTATCACTCACTTTAACCATTTGATTAGCCGGTTCAAAGCATGAATTGGTAATATCCATTACTGATAACGATTCATGATAGGCTTTTTCAGCTGAAATTATTGGAGCATAAGTTGCTAGCGGAAAATGAATACGTGGATATGGCACCAAATTTGTCTGAAATTCCGTCAGGTCCACGTTCAGTGCACCGTCAAAACGAAGTGAAGCTGTGATCGAAGAAACCACCTGAAAATATAATTATTTTACAATCCTTTAAATAGGAATAAATTAATAGATTCACAAAGAAATATTAAAATTTTTCTTCCCATTTATATAATCAACTTTTTGGAATGATTACTATAACTTTGATACTGCTTTAAAATTGTACTTATCTTGATAAGTGATTGAAAAGTTAATAACCTGTGAAATTAAACGATTAAGATTTGGATATGATGGTCTTTCTACATCCAAATTACGACGACATATATCATAAATCGCTTCATTATCCACCATAAATGAGCAATCGGAATGTTCTAATGTTGTATGTGTAGTCAAGATTGAATTATACGGTTCCACAACTGCAGTAGAAACTTGCGGTGCCGGATAGATTGAAAATTCTAGCTTGCTTTTTTTACCATAATCAACTGTTAAACGTTCCATCAATAATGAGGTAAAACCAGAACCTGTACCACCACCAAATGAATGAAATACAAGAAAACCTGAAAATCAATATCTATTATGAGATTTAAGTATGTTTTTTTTTTTACCTTGATGAGACTTATTTGTAAACATTATTTATTCATGAAATCATTTTATGATTAATTATTTTGCGTGCATGGAATATCATACCCTGTAAACCGGTACAGTTCTCAGCAAGTCGTCTGATCCGATCTAGTACAACGTCAATTATTTCTTTACCAACTGTATAATGTCCACGTGCGTAATTATTTGCCGCATCCTCTTTACCAGTAACCATTTGTTCCGGATGAAAGAGACGTTTATATGGTCCTGTTCGAATCTCATCTAAATTAAAACAAATAGATTTTCAAATTAATTATTTAATTATAAGTATTTTCAATATTAATAATAATATATTGATACGATCATTTAAATAATAACCAATTACGGAAGGTTCAAGATCGATTAAAATAGCTCGAGGAACATGACGTCCAGTTCCGGTCTCAGAAAAGAAAGTTGAGAACGAATCATCAATATGTTGTTTATTCTGAGTTGACATTGTTCCATCCGGTTGAATTTCATGTTCCAAACAAAATAACTCCCATGCAGCATTTCCAATCTGTACGCCAGCTTGTCCAACATGAACCGAGATTACTTCACGCTATAGATTTATTCTAATCAATAAATTGGAAGAAAATGAAAATTTCATATTTAAAGGACCTTTACAGTGTTACTTTCAATAATCTCTGTAAAATTTCAACGATCCTCAAAAGACCCAAAATATAAGTACCATTTTTTTTTAGAGATTTCTCACGAGCAAACGCACATACGCACACAATGAACTTCTTAAATGATCGTTTAGCTTTAAATCTGAAAAAAATTTTCATTGATAATTAGTGATGTTATCTGAATTATGAGATTCTTTCAAATTTAACAAAGTTTTTCTCTATCTTTGTATCACAAACTTCGATCTGTCGATAATTTAACTTAATATCAACTTTCAATAATTTAAATAAAAACCGCTACGCATCCATGCCTTCGTTATCAGAAGAGTCCCATCTTGCTGATCGAAGTTCGAGATTAATGAATAATGCATATAATTGATCCTATTTATGATGTTTCTGTACAAGGCAGATTGTTCAGATAGGTAGATCAACTATGATAGGATGGTTAAGTTATGCGTGATAGGGTAGAAAAGTTATATATGGGTAGATAAATTATGTACCATAGGATAGATAAATAAGTTATGTATGGGTAGATAAGTTATGCATGATAGGGTAGATTAGTTATGTATAGGTGGATAAATTATGTATAATAGAGTAGGAAGTAAGTTAAGTTATGGTTGGGTAGATAAGTTATGCATGATAGAGTGGATAAGTTAGTTATGTATGATAGGGTAGATAAGTTATGTATGATAGTTGTTATCATCCTTATCTTCCAGATTGCATGTACAATAATAAATATTCTTATAGAATACGATAACTAATAAAAATAACTACATTGTTAAAAGATTTTGCTCAAATGTTCATTACACTGATAAATTGTTGTATTATCAATCAATAATAATTAGCCTTAATGGAAGATGACATTTCTTGTTCAGCCAGGAAGAATACGTTTTGATTTTGTTTGATTCTTGTTCCAAACTCTTCTTATTTTTTTGCAACAATAACAACAACAACATTGTCAAATTTTTTAATGATCACTTTGAGCAAGAGTGAAAAACAGATTAAAAAAATGACTGGAATGTCGTTTCATTTAATGAAGCTATAATGCCATGCTTTCCTTTCCTGTAAATTTCATTTTTTTTTTTTTGAAATTTAGATAGGAAGAAAATGAAATGAGCATTGTATATTTCTTTTTATAATTGAAATGCAGGAAATTATCTTGGAATTAATAAAGTCTTAAGAAATTAAAGTAAAAATGCAATAAGCAACAAATGATGTAGTCAACTCAATCGAGAAAAAAAAATATAATTGAATTCATTTAAATTTAACTATGAAAAAAAAAAATGTTTTTAGAGAACATGGCAGGAAAGACACGAATTAATTGATGAATTATACAAATTATTGGCAAAACGAAAAGTACACAACGAATAACAAATGTACAAACTTCACCTTAACATACAATGTTTAATCACATTTGAATCATTTAATCAGTTGTTTATCATTTACTGATAATTACAGGTAATTGACCTAATTTTGCATATTAAACATTACGCGTAAAAAGTACAATTTTCAATATTACTTTGATTATTTACTTACCAAAATTTCATTCATCTAACAGTACTGTGAAAAAAAAGTTGCAGTATACATTTACACAACCAATTGAGCAGCTAATGTTCCTATCAGTTACTTATTTCATTTATAGCATGGAAAAAATAGGTGTAAAATTTTTTTAAAAGATAAAAAATTATTGCGGTATTATTTGAAAATGTTGATCATGCAATTTAGCATACATAATTTTATACTTTTATTTGATAATTTTTCTTTGACAAGCAAATATTTTTGTTAATAAAATGTAAAAAGAAAAAAAAAACAATTTAAAAGATGATTTTTTCAAATCAGTTCAACAAATTGTATTTTATGGTACAGTAACACACTTCTAACTAATTAGAAAGATGGAAAAAATAATTGATCCAATTTAGTGTCATTTCATCATTCTTTCATTGCATCACAATTTGAGAACAAAAAAAGAAATTATGCACACAAATAACAATTAAATATATAGGATGAAAAGACACACGCGAACAAATTATTCGAAATTTTTAAAACTATTAATCTAATCATAAAATAAGAGATGCTTATTGGTGGTAAGTTATCAGCACACGAACAGATCAAATAATATTTGCATTTTTAATTCTTGATAAGTAAAAAAAAATTTTTCAAAATCTTTTAAAAAAATGTGAAAAATTTTTAAACATTAACTATTAGCAATACAAATGTAACTTTTGATTTTGCAATTAGCCTAAATTTGAAAAAAAAAATATCATGACGACTAAAAATTTCTGTTTTTCACTTAACATAATCGGTTGCATGTGCAGCTAAGGTTTCATTGAAGTGCTGAAACCTCCATCGTTGTCGTTGGTTCTTATCATCACAAACCCTCATTACTAACATCGTATCATCATCGCTCAGTGTTAAACAGTTACGTGATATTGGATGATACAATCGACCAGTCTAGAAAAAAAAAATGAATGTAAAATTCATGCATTGATTCACGTAGATTTGCGTGAGATGAATTTATACTATATCGATGTGTATAATTTACAACTAGTCAGAATATTAAGTAAGGTAAATAATAAAATTTCCTTTTTCAAAATTTGATAATTTTAGCAGAGCTGTTTAAGTTTCACAAACAGATGAATGTTTTAAACTTGAAAGGATCAATTATAGCTTTTTTTTTTAAATTAAATTTTCCGTCAAATTTATTTCTGTAAAACATAAAATTGACCTCATGACTGTATTTCCAAAGTTGATTGCCTTTGGAACCGTGACATTCATAAGTTACTGGTGATCCTCTACCCGTATAATCAATACAATATTCATCACGTCGTATTTCACCACTTTTACTTAACATCCAGAACTAAAATGATAGTTGTAATAAAAATCTGACACTCATTTACTGTAAAAGTGTAACTGTCAATAAAAAAGAAAAATGTTACAAAATAATGCACAAAAAAATAATCATAAAATTAGAAGATAAATATGAGAAATGATAATTTATACTGATAAGAGTATTAATATTAGAATGCTTGAATAATTATATTTCTTTTTTATGGGTCCATATTTCCCAACATATATTATTCGTTTAAAAGTTTCAAAATTTTCAAAAATTTTTTCTTTGATACCTGATTACCGCCCTGTAAATGACATGGATATGGTATAACACTATCATTTATAGCATTTCGACCAACATCATGATCCACACAATACTTTCGATTGCCAAGATTACGAATCTTCAAAAGTTATAGTTTATATTTCAAAACTAAAAAAAGAAAAAAGAAAGAGCAAAAAAAATTGAATGAATTCATCAATTTTTTATGTTTTGTCATTTCTTATAAAGTTTGAGTTTTATTTGTAGATTGATTTTCAAAGACAGCAAAGAAACAATGTGAAAAAATATTTTTATTTACTCAATGCTTTATTTAATAAGCTAACTTTAATCATTGCTTGCTTTGTACTTTAACAATTAATACGGATAAATTTAAGGAAAGGATAATCGAAAATAATTTTATTAAATTGCGTATAATAAAACTCATACAATTTTTAATAAAAGAAAGCCTTACTTCACCACTAGCAATTGCTTCTGTTGGTAGAAACAAATCTGGAAATATATTATTCAAATACCATTTAAATGAGTGACACTTCAAACGTTCTCGTAATTTCTTCCGTTCCGATACATCACCAAAATCACCCTGAAATGATTTAATTTGCTATCAAAAAAAAAAAAAAAATACGCAGATGTGTTAATTTTCAAGAATTTAACACATTATCAGAGAAATGGTAACTATGATAAATTCCATAGAAAGATTTTAATGATATCATTTATTGTAAGTAAGGTATCATTAAGATATTTTAATATTTTCATAACTTCTTGGATTAGTACTTCAAATTATTTCATTTATTTCTCCCTGTATGGAATTTTTTTTTTCTAATGAGATAATAAGCGAATTATTTGATAAGTATTAAAACTTGTCTTCCAGTATGATAATTCACCAGTAAATGAAAAAGCAACCAAGCATTTCATATTTTTTTCAATTTTACTAAACAATAAGCAAGAAAAAAAAACGAATACCAGCTTATGATTGATCCGATTGTAATAAATTTCTTTGTATTCATCTAACCATACCTTAAAACAAAATTTTTTTTTAATTTGAAAAATTCAAAGCAATCGTAAAATTCTCAATTTTTTTTAATAAAAAATGAAAATAATCCTTTTTTTTTTTGAAAAAACCACAATCGTTTTGAAAACAAATATCGTACAGTTTGTATTAGAAAAGCGAAAGATTTTAATTGGATATGATATTTAAATAAAAATCGCTCAAAATTTCAACAAGCTAATTGAAAAAATTTTTGAAATTATAGCATAAAAATTTAAGTTTTTACACTGTTGCACACTAATTTCATAGCTCCTACAATGAAGTTAAGTTTGAAAATGCCTCAGCTAATCGAATATTATTCCTTTGTAGCACATTAACACCACTTCTCCATTTATAAGGTGATTTTTTACGAAAAATATGGCCAACATGACTGCACGGTACCACTTCCAGTCGTCCTCCACACATCCATATCTATGGAAATGTATAGTGAAATTATTTTCCAGTACAAATTCTGATTATTTGAATTATTTGAAAAAAAAAAACATTAGTTAAAGCGAAATTTGAAATTTTCAGGTTCTCAGTTTAAATCATTATTTCGTTGCTTAAATTAATATAAATTTTCGAAAAGAAAAATACAAAACTATTGAAGTAAAATTTTTTAGGAAAAAAATTTTCTCACCTTAAACGATATTTCGAGATTTTCACCACCCCAAATATCAAAACCAGGATCATAACCGCCAAGTTTCTCAAAATAAGCTCGATCAATGGAAAATAATCCACCAGCCATCGTTGGTGATCTAAAAAGTTGTAATTGCTTGTTAATTTCATGATAAATTTTTTTTTCATTATTTAAGAATTAAATTACAAGAATCTTAAAATGATAATAAGATTAACTGACGGTACGGGATCAATCCGTGATTTCATGGCTTTATAATCACGATCCGGTAATATATGCCAATTAAAAACAAGACCCCAATTAAATCCGCCAACACTCAATCGATGATGATTTGATAAATGATATTGCAATGTTTCCAGATCAATTGTATCAATTACAGGTGTTACCACATTTGTGGAATTTTGCGCTATTCGATCTAATAACGGTTCAAGCCATCCTAAAAAAATCTACATCAATACGGAAAAATTCAAAAAAAAAAATGTTACAAATAATCAAAAAAACAAAATAAAAACAACAAAAAAAAAATTTGTGAATTCAAATAATTAAATAATTAAATTAGATTCAATTAGTCCTTATCTCAAATTTCTAATTTCAAAAGAAGTTTTTCAAAAAAAAAGACAAAAATTTACATACTATTCATGCATTCACAGTGTGAATCCAAATAAGTTAATACTTTTCCTCTTGCAACCGAAGCACCTCGAAGTCGAGCACGAATCAAACCCATTCGATTTTCCAATCGTATTATTCGAACTTTACCAAACTGACTCATATAATCCTCTAATGGTTTCTAAAAAATGAATCAAAATCATACCGGATCCGGTTTTCATTTTTCTTTAGATGATCATTCATAATTCAGATGCATAATTTTCACATTCTTTTGAAGTCATTGAAAATTTTTGCAAAAATTAAAGCCTATAATGATGAGTATAAATTTCAGGATTTATCATGATATTTCTTAATCAGATAGACTTCTCTTCTAGGTTATTACTAGTAAAATAATAAGTAAGAGCAGTTAACTCTATTAAAGTACAAAATTAATTCTTAATGAAATGAATCGATGCTAATCGAGATCCAAATAACAAACAGTATCTAACATTGAATGAACGTTTGTAAAATGTTGTCAAACAAAATTAATTCATGAAAGTTATAGTTGACCTTTGCCAAAAATGATAAACCATAAATAAGGCAAGCATGAATTGGACTAAATTTATCACTTACAGATTTACCATATGTCTCGGACTGATATTTTAAAATTGTGAAAGATAGGAATTTGAGAATTTAAATTCATCAATCAGCTAAAATTACAATTTATACTTTCTTGCTATCACCTTTAGGTGTTCCAAATCGGAGAAATCATCGACTAAGATAATTTCTTTAAGCAGATGGACAGGTGTTCTTTCCAGTACGCTATGCACTGTGCGCAGAAGTACTGACCAGGCTTCATTATGAAAACAAATAATCACCGATGTATCCGGCAAATCATCTCGATAAGATGCTTTACGACATCTGAAATTCACAAAATTATCTTTTGTTGGATTAGTAAAATTTTTTAAAATCTATTTTTTTTAAAGTAAACTTTTAAATTTATAAAATTTTAAGGGATTCGAAAGTTTCACAAAGTTTTACATAGAATATGTGATCTTTCGTTGGATGGTTAAATTGTTGTAAAAAGTTGTCATAAGATTTTAATCTCATAAATGTAGCATTTTTTTTTTTTTTTTGAATCATTGCTATCATATTAGAAATATTTTAAAAGATTTCTGTCTCTCTCTTTCTCTCTTCCTCTCTTTCTCTTTCCATTCTCTTTTTCATTTATGAAATAATATGAAGTTTAGACTAATACAGAAAAAGAAGAAAGAACAGAACAATGAAATTTGAATGGAATTCAGTTAAGAAATTCGAAATATACGAAATAGAAGTGATTACGCATTTATCGGCAAAGAATATATTTGCATTAAAAAAAAAAAAATTTTTTTCTCCAATATATTTTCTAATTAAACTAACAATTCGTCGGTATTATTTGGAAGTGATCGATGTATGGAAATCATATTTGAGACATATTCATTAAATGAATTCCGCTTAAATCCTTCCTCAAATATTTTACGCTCTTTTGGTGATAATTTCTGCAAAATAACATTAAAAATAATTTATATTAAGCAGCAATGTTTAATTTAATTTATACAGCATTTCATCAATAAGTATAAAATAAAATGTGTTAAGGAAGAAATAAAAGTCTCAATAAAAACTGAAAAAAAAAAAAGAAAGAACTCAAATGCTCAATTTAAAAGTGTTACTAAAAGATTTCACTTTTACAGTTACAAACATTTCACTATATGAATCATCGTTGAAACAAATCATACAACGATCTCGTTTTTCTTTCCCTCCTTTTCTTTTCTTTTTTTTTTTTCACTACAAATAAAATACCTTTTTGTCAATTTTCACGCCAGCACCAAATTCACCAAATTGATTTGGATCATCACGTTTATAAATTGCACTACCTTCCATATAAACAAAACGTTTTGGTTGCGGAATATTAGGCTGTAAATGAGATTTGGAAAATTTCACATTAAATAAAGATTTTTAGAATTTATAACAATTTTTTTTTTTGTAATTAAATTATTAGCAAAATTTAATAAAAATTATCATACAATCAAAAAAAAAGAAACAGACATTATTTTCATACCTTTTCTAATCCATTATTATCTTCTCCAGCAATTTCAATTATTTCATCAAATTTTTTCAACTTTTTAGCTTCCACTGATTTTCCATAAACTCGAAGCACTTGTAAATTTTCATTTCTACTATCATTGTTACTGCTAATTTCTTGCTTTTGTTTGGAATCATCGATTACGGAATAACCGTCCTGCAACTGTAACTGTCGACCACCAACCGGTTCCTTCAACAATAGCCCGCGTCCTCGTACATGACTGCCCTATGTCATGTTAAAAATTTACATTTGAAAATTTGTTCATTTTAGTAATACTAATAGATGAAGCAAAAAGTCAATCATGAATTTTCAAATATCACTGCAAACAATTTTACTTTCAGCTTAAAGGTTCGTTTAGCTAATTCGCTATACTTTTTTCCCGATGAAGCTTTTAAAAGATTTACCCCATTTACTTTATCAATCGTTAAATTCCTCGCAAAAAAAATGCTTTAAATGAAATGAGCTAACTTTATCTGTTCCTATTAAACGATATATTGTTAAATGTAAAATATACGTAAAATATAATTTTTATCTATTAAATAGTAAATTAGCAATTAAAATAATGATATATTGATTAAGAAATGATAAGATATTATATAATGATTGATAAATTAATCAAACTTACAACATTTTGAATGGAAAGCGAGATCAATGTTGTGATAATCCAATAAGCTCCAATTAAGGATAAAATATTAAGAAGAATATTACGTCGTTGAACAGAACGTATGTGAAACATTCGATAGATTGTTGAAATGGGTGATTGAAATGATGAACTTTGTGAGAATACACCCAATGAACGTTTCAATGCCATCTTATCAAAAAAAAAAAAAAAAAAAATTGACAAAAAAAAGTTTTTTTTTTCTTTCCTTTTATGAGTAAAGAAAGGATGAAAGACTAATTAGACACAGTGTAAATTTTGTTTCCGTGAATTTCGAACAAGAAATCAATTTCTTTCTTTTCCCGTGTTTTTTTTTTTTCCGCTCCAATCCGGTGATCACTTCCTGCAACAAAAAATACCTTTTCCATTTTCAATGAATTTTATAAAAATATTTTCTTGCATGTTATTTGATAGGAAAAAATATGACAGAGAACGAATGGAAGGAAGGAAAAGTGGAAAGAGAAAACATTAAATGAAGAAGATATAAAATGTATGAAAATTACAAAACGAAATAATATGATGTCTGATAAGTAAACATTAAAATTAATGCTTTACAATAAAAACGATGTTGGTCTTTTTTTTTTTCTTTGTAAATTCATTGATATTTTATAAGCTGCATATTTTTATCTCTCAACTTTTTATTGTATATATTTTGAACAAATTGAAAGGGAAAAATTTCAGTGAGATTTGTTGCTATTTTATTAATCAGTTAGGAGAGCTAATTAAATATTAATTCTAAAATAGCTTTCGTAGAGTATGACGTAAATTTTTTTTTTTTTGAAAAAATTTTTTAAACAATGATAAAATTGTCTTTTGATCGAAATAGCTGATTGGAAGAATTCATTAATCTCTGATCTAGCCGATCATATAAATTATATTTAAATTAAAAAAGAAAGATCATGATGATTTTGGAAAAATTTTTGTAAATTTTTAACCTTTCAAGCGATCAAATAATCCTAAAGCGAAAACATGAATGGTTTCTGAACGTCTTCAGTACAGACAATTCTGTTCTTTGTTACTATCAGAGCAATTTGACCCGTTAAAACCGGAAGAAGCAACTGTATTTTCGACCACTTAACTACAACAACAAATCTGAAAATATTTCCAAATTTGCTATAATTAACTAATAAGAAAAAAAACGAACCGATCAATAGCAATGCATCGAGAAATCTTCAGGAAAGTTTCATGTTTGTAATTTATGAAAATCATGACCAGTCCCCAATTAGCCCAATTATATCATCTTAATTAGTGATTATGTTAATAAAGATTGCTTTTGATCAGACTCTCCCCCAAAAAATGGGATACGACAATCACTAAAACCTATTATTTAACATTTATCAACCTGTTTTCTGAACTTCGTTTCACACTTCAGAAAACGGATTTAGCAAATGAGTACATTTTAAACATTTTGAATTACCGATGGTACTTTCAATAAGAAAGAATTTAATTTAAGGACAGTTCTCAATTTTTTAGCAAGTTGTAGAAGTGACTTTACTTCAGAAGTAACTTAACTTATATTCTTCTTATTCTATAGATTCTATAAAAGTAAGCCTTTTCGTTTATTATAAATTGAGATGACATTAATTATGCATAATACATGTGTGATTAATTGTAAAAAGAGCATGATTTAAAAAAAAAAAGTTAAAAAATCTTAATGTTTAATGAAAAAGAAAAATATTTTTTAATGCAAAATCCAATCAATGTTTTATCAATTTCATTCCTCAAAAATAATGAAGGAAAATAATAAAAAAATAAAAGATAAAAGGGAAAAATGTATTGAGCCTAAAAATTTAGGCACTTATTACTGAGGAAAAGTTAAATGGTATGATAAGATGAATAATAAAATTTGAGAATAAAAAGTATGAAATGAATCATGCTAAATATAGTTCGAAACATTTTTCATTTAAGCAATGGAAAAGTTATTATTTATTTGATAACTGAAACTATTTCATTTGATTTCTTATCACTATGAATAATACATTTATTAGGAGTGATAAATGATAAGACTTATAAATGTTAAAATTTTATTTATTTTTTTTAAAGAAAATTTTACAAAAGAATGGAAAAAGAATAATGATTGCATTAAAGGAAAATATGAATGATGAGTCATCTCATAATAAACACACGAAGTGCTAATTTCAAAAACAATTAAGCGCGCAATTAATCGATGAAAACATCACATTTTACCTTACCTTACCTTACTTAAGTGTTAATCGATTTAACATGAAAAAATTCGCAATGAATTCTTTTTTCAAAAACATTATTTTAGAATTTTATGCTATTTCAATGTGAATTATATTGCCCTATAAGATCAAAAGTTTTTTTTTTTGTCACTCTGGCAGAACTAAATACCGCCAATATAAATGGATAGCGTATGGTTTGGTCACTATTGAACTTTTGAAATTGAAAAATAATTTCAAATTTTGTTCGTAATTAGAAAAATCGATGAATTTCACTTATACATAATTCGTTTACAATTGTCATTTCATGCTTGAAATTCTTTGCTAATAGTTGCTAATTGCATTTTTGCCGTTAGTTACCTGAGATTGTTCAACTGGAAGATGTATTCCGATAAGTTTACCTTTCTCGATTGTCTTTTCTTCAAACAATATTAAAACAATATTTAAATTTTTTTTCGAACTTTTCTTCAAACAGTATTTAAAAATTTCTATATTCCTTCTGATAAATAAAAAAAAAAACACCCGTAAATATAAATTTCCAATGCTTATTGCAAAACTAATTAATAATAAAAAAAGCTGACATTTTGGTATAACATTGAGAAGAATGAACGGATCAAATACAGTTTAATTGATGCATTTGCATTTTAAAATATACATTAGGCGAGAAATGGAAGGTAAAAAATTGATTTTTTTTTAAGCTGTGTATCATCGCATCACACTTGAAAAAATCAAATGTAAGCCATGAAAATTTTTTTACAAACTTCAAAATATACGGCAAATTTTACGAGTAAAAAGTCTGAAAAAAAAAATTAAACAACAATAAACGAAGTTTCATGTTATGAATTGCTGAACTGAACAAATTATTGCAAATTTTGAAAAAAAAAAAATTTATTGCTATCATGGATAGAAAGGTAATATAATTTAGCTGATTTTAAAATGAATAAAAAATGAAACATTTGAAAGAAAATAGAATACGAGATAAAAAGGAAAATAAATTTAAATTTTATATTTAAAAGAAAGAAAAAAATTATGTGAAAAGAATTATATGCATATTTTAAAGTTCACATCTAGAAGAGGAAAAAAAAATTCGTTTTTTTCGCAAGAATTTATTGCGAAAAATCGTCATAGTGACCTCAAACCAACATATGACACCAATATAGAATAGAGCACTCTCTAATAAAATAATTTCATTTGAAATGAAATCAATTATTGAGAAGAATATAGTAATCAAAAAGCAGTAGAGATAATAATTACTGCTAACCGATAAGTCTTTTACTTTCAGCTTTAAATAATCACGCATCAACTGACAGATTTATTCATCTATTAAGCGCTATTTGTCACCATACCGTGTTGATAGATGTCTCTCTTTACATCTTTGCTATTTATTTTATTGATTTTAAACTGTGAATTAGCTTATTTTTGTTGACATTAGCAGTGAATAATACATCTAAAATTATTAAATCGATTTCTGAAATTGAAAAAAAAAGGAAATAAAAAGCACTGAAAAATGAGCGGTAATTGTCTAATGCTTAATCGTTTTGGTTTCATTATATCTTCCGGTATAACATTATTTATACAAATCAAATAACTGCCCTTAAAGAAATTCAATGATCGCATTTAATTCTCATCTAACTTGCATATTGATAGTTTCAATCGTTTACTCTTAGATTATCATTTGTATGATTTCTCATACACCTGAAATTTTCAAAATTATACTTCATGATATTGCGAATTATTTCTTCTAAGGTTTTGTAAAACATTTCGATTAGAGATTTCGGGAATTTTTACGGTTGATTCGATTTAAAAAAAGAAAGAGATAGAAGATAAACGTTGAAAATTGACAAAAAAAAACGAGGAATTAATTGTTAGAGTCAAATTGTCTCAATTTCTATCTTTTTCATGCAATAGAGAAATTTTTTTTTTAATTTCTAAAAGAATTTGCAAAATTTTCTCGTAAATTCGAATAAAAAATGTTAAAAAATGTGTCCAAAAATGTCAGATTTGTCACAATTGCCCATTCCTGAAGCTTTTTCAAATTCATTGAATCCACCTTATTGAATCCAATAGTAAGTTTAACACTCACCACTTATTCATCTATTCTAAATCATCTTTATGGTTTTTAATTAAATATAAGCATGAATGCTTCCTACACTAAAAATATTGAAATTAGCCACATAACTGGCTTGCCGTATGGATTATCAAAGCAAAATGGTGCAATAAAAAATTATATTTTCAAAATTTATAATAAAAAAAAAAAAAGCTTTTTGCTTCAGTCTCAAAAAAGCTTCAGCCATATTCGTTTGCTATATCTTTTATTGCTAATCATTTTTTCAAATGCAAAATTTTATTTTCAATGAAAAGACTTTTGAGATAGCAAAAAAAAAAAAGGTAAAGCTAAAATAAAATTAAAAAATAATTTACAAGTAAAAGGAAAGGAATGAAAAGGTAAAAAATATCGATGAAACGGTTTTTAAGCATTTGATGTCTTCAATTCAACTGATCACAACCTAGCAACAATGAAAAAGTTTCAACCACTTATTGGTAGCATAGTTGTTTCCAAGGTTACTTCAGAGCTTCATTTCACTTTCAGCACAAATGCATTTCTCATACTACTAAGTGGTGTGGTTAAAATTTGGAAGAGGAATTGCATGGGTATAAAAATTATCACTAAAAGTCTTCTTTGTTCTGCATTTTCATCTAATTGCATATTAATTCTATCTTTGAATAATTATTATTAAACTTTTCATTTCTTAAACCCTATTCATAATCTCTTTCCTATAAATTTTTTTCTTGATCTATTGCATATAAATGACCATGCGAAACAATTACTTGTTTAATTTACTCATTCTAATTGATTTTTCACAAAATTTTCCACTTTTTAATAACTAAGTTTTTTATCAACTTTTTCATTGTAATTTAATTAAAAGCAAAAGCCAAATTTCAATTTGTTAATGTTGGATAAACCATAAATAT